CAAAGCTTTATCGAGTCAGTTCATGAAGTTGGCGCCTCGAACCGTCCCGTTGGTGATCTATGGTGGATCGTAAGGTGGGGGATATTGGATTTCACATGTCTTTAACAAAAGACCCGACTGCTGAGGGAACTGTGATCAGTGATCAGGGATCAACCTCTGTGCTTTTTCCAAGTTGGTCAGCTAATTTTTGAAGTGTTCGGTTAAATTGCCCAAAACTTGTCCCTCGCACGCTTGCAGGGATGCCACTGAAAACAGACATACCTACTAACCTCAAGAATAAAAAGCAAATAGAGGTAGTCATCCGTCAATTATCCTCTTTCAACGGGATTCTTCGAGCAATTGACTTCACTAAAGCTTTACCCAACAATCAACCTTGCAGCACCACTGGCACCAACGGGACGGTCCGTTGCCTCAAATTCACCATCGGTTGAATGTTGAACATGTGATAGACTCAGGAGGTACATGAGGTTGGTACTTACAGGCCGAAGCCAATATGAGACAGGACGCTAGCCGTCCAACATTGTATGCCATTTCTTGATCCTTTAACCACGATATCAAGACTGACAGTCATCAGATACAAGGAATATGCGAGCCAAATACATATTTAGTGGAGCCTCTAGGCAAATATCAAGTTCAAGACAGTAGTAATGCCGAGAATCAGATCGTAATAGATCCGCTGTTGCAACAATCGACTTAACACCTTGAGGTTAAATATGAGATATCCATTATTCCACGTGAACCAGGAGTGCCCGTTGGTCCCAGAGCTTGTGACCTTAGATCAGTGCCCCCAGGGCTCATTGCAGTGTCTGACGGTTCCTTGTCGTCTAAGTCTTGTATTTAGAAGAACTAGGTCTCTACCAGGAAGTTGCACGGTACAGCGATATTAGGCACCCAGGACCTTTCCGTCTCCTCTAAAAAGGCCAGCAATTCAGCGACTCTATCTTTCAAGGCATTCATTTTACACCTTGGGAAGCTCTTCAAACAGTCGCCTGGATTAGGGTCGCGGTGCCAATCTTATCCTGCCTTAGAATTCTTCAACGGTGGCAAGATTTTCAGGAGGGAAACATTGGATAAATTTTTTACAAGCACGTTTCTAACATTATGACCCTTATTATCACTTGTTAACTCTTCTTCTTGCAGCGCATCAGGGCTAGCTGGTATCTAGGAGGTTTCAGACGGACTTGCGTCTAGTTACTGGCAGATGTCTTGGAGCAAGACATTACCCCGGATCAAGCAAAGACAGTGATGTGCTCTTTTCTCATCAGCCTGCCGTAGCGCCTCAAAGAGTGCTAGAAGCAGTTTATTGTCCTACTCAAGTATGTCGATCCTGCGGTACAGGAGAATCCTACGGCGTCTATCACCCTCTTCATCAATCACACAGTCCGCGCTGTTAAGACGGCAGAGACTACACGGGCTGATACCATCGCACTATTTATAAGAGTCAGAGGTAATTCTCTTAGAGACAGGAGATGCATTATACCTTTCTTCTCTATTTCCAGCAAGCCAGGCAAGCAGTGGTTGACTTTCGGAGCCGCGGGCGGAGTTTAATGTTGTTCTAGGATAGTCCGTCTCCTGGTCTTGGAGCGATTACCCTGGGTGGCTCCTGGCTGCCCATATTACGGAGAATAGTAAGTCAGAATTATGACGGGTACTGTCCAAATGTAGTCAAGGTATAAATGGAGTATGAACCTTTGAAATTAAAGAAGAGAAATGAGGTCTTCTTATTTATTTAATCACCCTGGAAATTAGTACCGTGTTGAAGGACTGAACATGATTAGCGGATGGCGTTTCGCGCGTTGAAAAGTACAGGGCAAAAAGGACATGCGTTACAGGAACTACGAGTTGATCTCCACGGGAACTCGCGTCGAACATCATCTGCATGCAGTTTGGATGCTGCCTTCCAGGCGAAAGCTATGATCTAGCCAGACAACCCCAAATCCCAGCGCGGTGCTCTACCTAAGGAAATGAGTGCTCGCCAAATTCGCGGCTCGTAGCGCTCTAAATAAGGTCGACTATTCATTTGCCACGCAATACACTGCCCCTGACAGAGTGATTAAGTTTCATCAGCACACACTGCCAGGAGTCCTCGTATTAACCTAGAATCAGGCCGACTCATCTGGGGCTGCCTGACAAACACGAAATTTATTGATCTGCATCCGCCAAGACGAGTATCTCCCATGTGCATGGATCGGTCTCGGTCTTATTAGGTCGCGAATGCCCGCCGAAAGTACATGACAAAATGTGGAGAACGAACTGCCGTCCTGGAGTTCGTTTATCAACGTGATAACTCGGGCTTGCTGCCAATGGTCCTCGTCCACTTTACCAAGCAGAGCCAGAGAACGGAAGCTAACACAAAAAAGTGGGGAGAAGGCTTTATCCTCAACCATAAGCAAGGTTGGCCCTGGCCTCTGTCGGGTGCTAATTCGAGCTTGCGTTCAAGGCGGGATGGCCTGATCGCAGGCGAATCATTGGCTAAAGTAAGGTTCCGTCAACTGCACCCCTGTCCCCTTTTTTGCGCAGACCTGGCCAGGCGCTGTCTCCCAGTTACCTTGAACGAATTCATGGACATGACACCTCAAGCCGGTGCTATAATGGATAATTCCACTGGAGTACTCAGGCAGCAAGTTGTGCACAGCATATTTAACTACAGTCCACCTTTGGCACCTTTCCTGCTCAGGAACATGCGTTCCGCCTAAAGGGTAAACTCGGAAGAACCCCCGAGTATGATGGAGATTGCTATAGATATAATGTCGCAGGTTTGTCTCCGGAGAACAAAGCGTAAACTTGGTTTGAGCGAAAAGTTATGCTTTCTTCATTGCTCACTAATGCAAGGCCGAAGTATGAACTGTAGGACGAAACCCGACAAAATCCTTGACAACCCTGCTATTTTCCCCCAGATCTTGGTGAGGACTTACCAGTCACGGCAGGATTGCTAATTCTGCAGTCCGTGTGTGGTCTGTTCGGTTACCTGCTAACGGGTCATAGCGGAGGTGACATATGATGTTTGGTCAGAGTACTAGAGTTGTTGGTCAATCCCATTCTGAGACTCAAACACGTTGTTCAAGCGAGAGCCGACTGGACATTGACGTGACTCAAGAACCAGTCCCGTAACGTGCCTGGCCTGATGTGGTTAGTGGGCTGGCTGGCCGGGAATGGTCCAAGAACACGGATGCGTTTTGGTATCACCTCTTCAAAGCGTCTTAATTGGGCCCACATCCCTGCAGTGTGGATAAAGGGACGTAACGTACTCCTTCATTTCTTGACTATCACCATCTTCAGATGGCACGAAGTCCCTAAGCCTGGGCTTCGGGCCTATAGTGTTTCGAATATCCTGGTGTGGAGATGCTGACTGGCTTTTTGGTTCATCGGGCGGAGACTGATGCTCCATTTTCGTCACAACGAATTCTTGGAATTCCCGTTCAAAAGTAGAACGATAGTAGAAAGTTGCAGGATGATAAAATTTTAAAACTTAGTCTGCTATGCTCTTGCTCGAAAGCCAGACCACGAGTGGTGGCCAGAGAAAATCCGGCAGACGTTGGCAGAGCGACAGAATCGGGAACAGTGGGCAAACACGCAGGCAGATAGCAAACACCAGGGCAACCCTCGGAGATGCAATCACCATCTGCGGCCAACAAGATGCGCTAGGATACACACCTGATGAGCTGACACGCATGGGCGACAGCCAAGGGACCACTCACGCGCTGCTTTTGACGATCGGAGGGCCTCGCTGGAAGAAGTGCCCAATGTTGAGTGATGGCAAGTCCAATCCAATCTAATCCTCTGCCCAGCCTTGCATGATGTTACAGGAGAATGTTTCCGACCTCACTGGTGATGTGGAGGGGACACCACTTCAGTAACCAAATTTCCACCTTAGGAGTGGGTGATGATGCAGGCAGCCATGCATTAGTGCTACAGTCGCTGCGCGCGAGAGAATTAAGAACATGATAATGGGATATTATAGGATGCGAGCTCTAGACTCATCAATTACGCGGAAAAAAAAGTGCACGTTGCTTTATCTTCCTCTCGACCCTTCAGCCGGATGATAGTACATGACATCTTTTAGTGCAAGATTTAAATCCTTTCTATTCGTCAACTGGTCCAACTATCCTGTAATTTCAGCCTACATATTAATGTGCGTACTTGCAGATTTCCAGTCCTGCATATTTCTCTGCGTTACGTTCGAGTTTAGACTATGGTATTGCTCTTCGCAATAACAGCCGCCTCGTTCACTGCAAAGCTTGCGCTTTATCCACTCTACTATGATCCTTCCGTAAATCTCAGAACAATAGATATGCTTGGGCTTATTTTTAATAATCCCATTAAGCACAAGTCTGCGTAGACTTAATTATTATCCGTTATAAAAGCAACCGCAAAGCTCTTCCCGGCTTGGGTTAAGTGTCATATCACGCGAAGGCCTCCTTGCAGAATAAGGGTTACACACGATTTCAATGATAATACTTCTATAGTGGGCTGATCCTTGTTACGCAGATATATTACACCACCTTCCCATTTTTTCTGTAAATTGGCTATCCTGTAGGAGTGATTCATGCAGTGATGATGGAGGTAGGACTATGTGCAGTGTCAGGCTCTACAGCGCCTTCTCTTCCACCTCAGCCCCCCACACGAGATGACACGTAGTAGTTAACTAGAAAGGCCAAGACTATATAAATGTCACCCCCAGCATGGGAGACAACTTATAATATGTCAGTTGGTGACATTGGCTGTTGCGGTGTATTCACTATCTGTCTTGCGACTTTGCCTTGAAAGGCACAATGCCACCCACCACGTCTTCGTGGCTTCGCCAGCTTTACGTACCTTCTGACGGAGATGATTATTATGAGATTTTTTCAACTTGGGAGGCAAAAAACCTCTCTAGCTCAGATCACCAAGCCTTGCAATCTCGCCTCCAAGAGCTGTGCGCTGCGAAGCTCTGGTATGGGGCCGCATATAATACCTGCTGTCCGCGACCAATCCTTGTTACAGCCCGGCACATTAATCGAATGAAGGAACTACACAATGCCTTGGTGATCGCGGTTACGGACATTGTTGAGAGATGGTGGACAGATAAGGAGGCGCAATTTCCCCAGCGTATGCGATTGGAAGCTGAAGAGGAGGAGCTACTGCGGGTATGTGTCCCTTCGTATCATCTGCAAGCACATACCGGAGTTAACATTTGTATTAGTGGATGGATGCCCAAGGTGTCGATGTAGTACCCCCTTTCAAGCGGCGATTAGGCTCGTGGAGACCGGACTTCCTTATAGAAGAAGACTGCTTCGGAGAAGAGAATTTCCGGATTACTGAGATTAATGCGCGCTTCTCTTTTAACGGGTTTATGCACGCCGCCTACGCTCAACAGGCATTAATTGACATTGGTGTCTGCAGTGAACTAAATGGGCTTGTGCCGGTCAAAGACTTCCAGAGTGTACGTGGGCTGCAGTAATCTCTCCGCAAATTCTTGTCATTAACAATACACTTAGACTATTAATAGTATGCTGCAACTTTTTCGGCCAGATTGCCCTGTGCATCTCTTGAAGGGTGAAGAGCCTGGGATGGATATCCATATGATTGTGGACTACGCGAAAAGGAACCTTGGGTTCACTCCGCGGCTTATTACCCCAGCAGATCTTCGACTGTTTCCTACTGGGCAAATCAAGAGTGAGATGGCACTATACTGCGTGGTAAAGGAGACAGATGCACCAGGTTCAAGATTAATCAACAATAAAGGAGAACACCTTGAAGAAATTCACCAGATCGGACTCGAACTACACCAGCAGGAGCTTCGCGCCTTGCCTCCTGACATACTTCGTCTCATTAGTATCCGATGTTTCAACGACTTACGAACCATATTATTGGTCCATGACAAAAGAATGCTGGGCATTGTAAGGCAAGAGCTTAGCTCGTTAACAACAAGAAATATTCTCACCCCCTCGCAAGCGGCTCTTCTCGATAAGGGCATCGCGGAAACTATCCTACCTGGTTCACTAGAACTCCAACACCTAACGAAGTGCTGTCAGAGATCTTTGAAACTTGGGACTGAGTACATCAGGAAGCCAGTTCGCAGTGGCAAGGGGAAAGGGATTGTCTTTGGTAAAGACCTAACTCAGGCTGAATGGGTATCTGGTCTAGAATTATTGAATTCCTGTCAATCAACCGCAGTTTCCGATCTGTGTGTGATACAGCGCAGGATCAAGCCAATTCTGTACGACATGATACTCGACGAAAGTGGAAAAAAGTCTAAATCTCCGCTTATCGGGACATACCACTCAGTTGGGGGTGAATTTATGGGGTTCGGGGTATGGCGCAGTAGCCTGGATCAGGTGTGCGCGATCAGCCATGGAGGTGCTTGGATGTGTTCTGTAATATGGCGTGATTAGGATCTGGTGTTCCTCTTTGATTTTACCTTTTTTTAGTTTCCTGATAGATGAATCCCAGTTCATTTTTCCGAGATCATTGACCCATGATGTGTGAGACCCGCGCTCTGTCGCAACAGTAAGGTTGAGCAACCTTTGGTTTTAATAACAGCTGATGAAGATTTCCTCTGCGCCAAAATTTTCAATATGACACAAGCCAAGGAACCGCAAATCAGCCCAAATGGATAATAGTGTGGGGTAATAATTAATCTGCGTTGGCACTTCGTGACAAGATCTGCATGTTAAAATTTGCAAGAGTTATTTAAACATGTTTACTTTAAGGAGTGGCTTTTAGTATTCTTACTAATATTTATTTAAAGCCCTTTCTTCGTTTGCTATTAACCTTATAAATTTAGTGACAAGCCTCACAAATATTATCTCTGCTTGCATCCTTCTTTTTAACTATTCTTATGTGAATTCAGTTAACCCCCTAGTCATGCGCCGATTCTCAGGTTATATTTGGCCATTTGCACGTGAGTTCGCCGGCAATATTGATCCCTAGAATAGACACGCTAATGCGACCCAAGGATCTGCTCCTGTTATACCAGACCTGGTTGCAAAAGACCTCGCCTACGCCAATCAGCCAGGACATGTCGGCGATATCTCCCAGCTTCTTGATACTAAGGGCATCGTCAAAGTGACCCTTAACTTTAAGGATGAAAGCAGCGATTATCTCCGCATCCTAATCCGGAAGCTGCACCAAAACTATGGTCACGGACTCCCAATTCGACACAGCGCATCTCGAGGCTGGTTTTGGGACGTTCGGCCCACAGCCCAAAGAGCAGGTCAGCTGGCTCGATCCGAAACCACGAAGGACTTCCCTTGGCATACGGACTGCAGCTACGAGAGTTCGCCACCACGATTCTTTGCGCTCCACGTCCTACAGCATGATCGGTGTGGTGGGGGGACGCTGTCTGTCATGAATGTGGACAGTGTCAGCCAGCTCCTCTCTCCTAGCACCACTACCGCCCTCTGCAAGCCCAATTTTCGCATTGCTACGCCTCCAGAATTCACGAAAGATAATCCTCATGGCTACATTGTTGGCAGCCTCTTATTAGTCAGTGAGACTCCTGCGCCTAACATAATCCGGTTCCGTGAAGACATTGTGACGCCTCTGAACATGGAGGCAGCCAACGCACTGACAGAGTTGAAAAAAGCTCTGAAAGAACCGCAAGCCCAAGAACAAACCATACATTTCACATCAGCACACTTACCTAGCGGATCCATTCTGCTGATAGACAATTACCGGTGGCTGCATATGCGCGATGAGGTCAAAGATAAGGGCCGGCACCTTCGCAGGGTCAGGTGGAATGCGATGCCATTTTATTGACCATGAAAGAGCAGGGATGTACGTACTTGAAAGTCCAAGAATGCTATGCATTGTTTATAATCTGACGAGCGCTAATTGGGAGTTGCTTTTTTTTTTAAAAAAAAAATTCAAAGGAGCAGAGTTTAGTTAGAATTATATTACTTTTCTTTATCCTTCAATTTGTCTAACTAGCAAATATGCAATATATTACCTTCTGGGGAGTTGAACGGAGTCCGAAACAAAGGTGAGTGTAACCTGGAGCAGGAGTGCCAATTCAAGGGAGGAAGTACTTACAATATTCACTATAAAAATGCGACAAGCCTGGCGGCTACTTGTCCCACCACAAGAAAACAACATGTTCCCCTTAGCTGACGTTTTGGCAGTAGCCAAAATCCACCCCTTTTACAACGAAGGTGTGGAATATCCTCCTGATCAAATAGCCATCCAGAAAGCCTTGCGCTTGGGTGCAGAACAGGCCAAGGAAATCACGCTCGAATCATTCCCTTTATTGACAAAAAAAGACCTGTACCATGTTATCGACCGCCTTCTTAAGGACCCGAGTACGGGGAATGAATTTCGACGCAGCGCGTACCTAAGCACGACAGGCGGAGGCTCTGGAGCGTTACCCCTGATGTTTGCAACGGACACGATTGAGAATCGCAGACACAGAGCGGACTTTGGGGGTTTCATGAGGGCCTGTCAGGTGATTGACTCCGGAGATATGGTTCTAACAACACACACTTCTGGCCACCTTTATCGGTACGGTGTCTCCCGTGGTAGAGAATTTGACACATTGGATAAGCATAGGAAGCTAATAATAGCCTATCGTTTAGTTCGCTTGATCTTATTAGCGAGCTTCTGGAGAACGCAGGCGCTTCCGTTCTCTGTGCTGGAAGCCGTATGCCAACCGCTGAAGTTGTCGAAGTGCTTGGCCATTACCATGCAAATGTGTTGACTGGTGATAGCAGTCAAATTGTTCAGGTCGTGCACCATATCTCGACTCTTCCTCCCGAACAGAAAAAGGATATCCGGCTGACCAAGGTGATTTATACATCTGACGCGCTGACCGAAGCACAAGAAAGCTACATCATCTCAGTCTTGGGCCGCATCAAAATCCTCTCAATCTTGGGCAGCGCTGAAGCAGGACCATTTGCGATTAGTAATCCAGAACTCACAACAGAAAGCCCTCCAAAAGGTAGAAGAGACTTCATCTTTGATACTCGTGCCATGATGATCGAAATCCATCAGCCTGCTGTTATACAAGATGACTCTCACCCTTGCGGGAAACAACTACCACTTGGTGAGCAGGGCATTATAATCCAAACATCGCTTCAGCGCCTGCGCAACCCGATAGTGAAGTACATCACGGGCGACATTGGATCTCTCCATTCCATTTCTGATAGAGCGCGGGGGAAAATTCCTGAGGCAGAAATAAAGCATTTTCAAGTCCTCCGCCTTGAAGGACGTGATCGTCGATTCAGCTTCAAATGGTTTGGGGAATATTTCAATTTCCAGAGTGTTAGCGACCTGATGCAAAGCGCGCGAACAGGAGTTTTAGAATGGCAAATTATCCTCGATAGTCTTAGCTCATCGCCGCAGGGGACTTTAGAGGTTCGGATCTTTCGCGCGGCAGATGGCGGCCACATCTCACCCAGGGAAGATTTTGTTAGAATGATTGAGTCTTTCTTTTGGGTTTTTCCTGAGAATCGACACCTTTTTCGGGTCGTATTCATGAATGGGCTTGAAGGATTTGAGAAGAGTAGTACTGGTCGCAAGATTATCAGGTTTGTGGATAGATTCAATTGATCCACAGCCATTGTGCATCCCTGTGGTTAGGCTAGGCGACATATAGTTAGCATGTTCTTCGCCGGCAGGGTTGGGATTTCTATTTCCGGATTCGGCCCGACATGGCGCCGCCTTTTGCCCAGTGACTGGCGCCGGGATGTGGGATGGGCATCCAGGTGCTCTGGATCCCGTGTACCAGCAACCCGAGCGTTGACGAAGCGTTCATGAGCATCCCTCAAACCATAGGACTCCAGGAAGTAAAGCCATCCAATGCAAAACAGCGTGTCAAGGCCTACCTGAGTCAGGTCAGCGGTCAGAAGTGGCTTCTGATTTTTGACAATGCCGACGACATGGACATGTGGGTTGGGGACAGCCATAGCACCACGGAACTGGCAAACTTTTTGGCTCCAAGTGAGCATGAGCATATCCTCTTTACCACTCGCAATCGGAAGCTGGCGGTGAGACTGCAGTTTTCTATTGTCGACGTCTCTGAGCCAGATAAAGAGTCTGGCATCAAGATTCTGGAAGAGGCAGTGCAAAAGAAAGAGCTGCTCGAGAGTAGGGATAAAAGAATCGCCCTTCTTGAGCAGTTGACCTTTTTGCCACTGGCAATCACTCAGGCAGCGGCATATATCAACTCCAATGATATTCAGCTCTCTGACTATATTGCACTGTTGAAAGAGCAAGAGTCCGACGTCATTGAGTTACTTAGTGAAGACTTTGGAGATGATGGGCGGTATCAAGACATTCAGAACCCAGTTGCCACAACATGGTTAATTTCATTTCAGCAAGTTCAACGGTTGGAACCGCTAGCAGCTGACTATCTGTCATTCATGGCGTGTGTCAACCCACGTGATATTCCGCGTTCTCTACTCCCCGAGGCTCCCTCACCAAAGAAGAAGATTGATGCAGTCGGTCTGCTCAAGGCGTTCTCCTTCGTGAGTGAGCAAGTTGGAGACCATGCTCTAAGTGTTCAACGACTAGTGCACCTCTCAACTCGAAATTGGCTAAGGAGGGAGCAGCAATTTAGCCTACAAATTCAAAAAACAGCCAACCATCTAAACCAGGTTTTTCCAGACACCCTTTGAAGGTGAGCAAATCACCCCCGAAGGTGACTGCTGGTTGATGAACTGTCGACCTTTAGTGACCGCTAGTATTCCGCTTCAACGCCGAACGTACTGTTAGTCAGCGCCCGCTCGGTCATTTAACGTAATTCACCGGTGATCCGCGCATCACGGGTCATCCGCGCACCTCACCAATTTCCCACGCGTAATTAATCTACAACAATTCAAACTACCGCCATGCCACGAAAACAACGTCAATCGCGCCAGAAGTTAGTAGAGCAAGAGGGGAGGATTCAACTCGCGATACAAGCTTTAAAAAAGTGCGAAATTCCAAGCCTTCGTCAAGCAGCTCCAGTTTTTAATGTGCCTGAATCAACACTTTGGGGACGCGTCAAGGGATCCTCTTTTCAAGCAGAACTTCGCAACCATAACCACCAGCTTACTGAGGTTCAAGAAGAGGCCTTAGTTAAATGGATTATATCAAGGGATACGCGTGGAGTTGCTCCTAGACCATGCCATGTACAGCAAATGGCTGATATAATCCTTCAAGAGGATTCGCCAACCCCCCCTCAACTAATTGGACCTAATTGGGTCACGCACTTCATCCAGCGCCATGAACAAATTAGAAGTCGATTCGCAAGATGATATAACTATCAGAGAGCTTAGTGCGAGGATCCAAAGGTCATGCATGAATGGTTCAAGTATCTAAATATGCTACGCAGCAAGAATGGCATTCAAGATGAAGATATCTATAACTTCGATGAGACGGGCTTTGCTATGGGTCTAATAGCAACTGCGAGGGTTGTTACTAGAGTAGAAATGACAGGAAGGCCTAAATTACTTCAACTAGGCCAGCGAGAATGGGTTACCTCCATTGAATGCATTAATTTAATGGGATACGCTGTTCCTCCGTGCATTATTTTCAAGGGAAAGGTCCATATACAAGGATAGTACGAAGAACTCGGTTTACCAGATAATTAGCGCCTCGAAGTAAGCGCAAATGGCTGGACTACCAATGAGATCACCTACCAATGGCTTGATAAGGTCTTTATTCCGAATACAACTACACGTATAGTTGGAGGATATCGATTATTAGTCCTTGACGGTCATGGCAGTCATCTCACGCCTCGATTCGATAAGCTCTGCAAGGATAATAATATTATTTATATCTACATGCCCGCGCATTCATCTCATCTCTTGCAACCGCTAGATGTTGGCTGCTTTGGCCCATTAAAGCGCGCGTATGGAGGACTAATCGAGGCAAAGTCCTGGTTGGGATTCCATTATATCAATAAGCATGACTTCCTACAAGCCTATCCTACAGCTCGTCAAAGTGTTTTCTCTATACAGAACATTCAAAGCGGCTTCCATGTAACTAGCATCTATCCTTTCAACCCTAACGAGGTGCTTTAATAGCTTAATTACTCTATTAAAGCGCCTCAAGATGAGACCCCCCCCTCTAGCCGTGGTAGGGACTCGAGCAGCTCCTCCACGCTTGCTACACCTCATACAGTTCGTCAACTACATAAAAAGGTTTCATCGGTTAAGAAGCGACTATATAAGGGCTCCTAGATTCCTTCTAGTCCATCAAAGCGCGTGCTAGACGAACTTATAAAGGGTTGCGAGCTTGCTATCTATAATACTGCATTCATGCTCAAGGAACTACATGATCTTCGCGCTGAAACACAAGTTTAGAAGAAGAAAGCAGGACGATCTAAGCGGCAGATAACTCATAATAAAGGTCTCCAAGTATTAGAGGCAAGAGATCTAATTGCGTTGAGAAATGAGCAATTAAATGAGCAAGAAGAGGGTCGAAGTTATTCCGCTCAAGCCACTCCAGGACCTTTAGCACCTCCAAAACGCGCTCCACCAAGGTGCTCTGATTATAATATTCTAGGGCATACTAGAACTAGGTGTCCTAATCGTTAAATTATTTAGTTTAATTAATTTTACGGGGTTTTGGGCTGTTGCGAATAGCTTCTAATTTGACTAGTATATTAATAATTTGGTGGTGCGCGGATGACCCGTGATGCGCGGATCACCGGTGAATTACGTTAGTTAACGTAATTCCCGGTCGTTCCGCCCACCCCGGTCGATCCGCCCGCCCATCCAAAATTCCACGCGTCAAAATATTGAAGTTATTTAAACAGCAACCATGCCACCAAAACCGCGTTAATCTCGTCAAAGCTTGGTGGAGCAAGAGGGCAGGATACAACTCGCGATATAAGCTTTAAAAAAGCGCGAAATTCCAAGTGCTTGTTAAGTAGCAGAGGTTTTTAATGTGCCACGTTTAATACTCCGGGATCGCCTTAAGGGACATGAATTTTAACTAGAACTTTGCAACCATACATTCCGACTCTCTAAAACTCAGGAAGAGGCATTGGTGGATTAGATATTATCTAGAGATTGACGAGGAGTCGCTCCTAGGGTCTCGCATGTGTAGTAAATGGCATATCTTCTTCTCTAAGCAGAATTAATAACCCCCCCCAAGCCACTTGGGAAGAACTAGGTTACTACCTTTATTTAGCGCCATGAAAGTATTAAAAGTTGATTCGCGTGCAAGTATAACTACTAGCGCGCCCTCTGCGAGGATCCTAAGGTCATAAAGCAGTGGTTTGAGACTTTAGAGGCCTTGCGCAAGGAGAATGGCATATAGGATGAAGATATCTATAACTTTAATGAAACTAGCTTTGCTATGGGCCTAATTACAACCTCGCGGGTTGTCACAAGGGCTAAGATGCTTGGGAAGCCTTACCTTATTTAGCCAGGCCAGCGCGAATGGGTCACCGCGATTGAATATATTAGGTTAAAGGGATATGTTATTCCACTAACCATAATCTTCAAAGGCAAGGTCTATATTAAAGGATGGTTCGAAGAACTAGGTCTCCTAGGTGACTAGAGGCTTGAATTAAGCGCGAATGGATAGACTACTGACTAGATAACCCTCTAGTGGCTTTAAAAGTGCTTTATTCCTTATATAACTAGGTGTATAACTGGAAGTCATTGACTGCTTGTTCTAGATGGTCATGGGAGTCATTTAACTCCTCAATTCGACAAGGCTTGTAGAGATAATAAGATTATCTGTGTCTGTATGCCTGCGCATTCATCACACCTGCTTTAACTGCTAGATGTTGGTTGCTTTGGGCCATTAAAGCGAGCTTATGGGGGCCTAGTTGAAGCAAAGATGCGCCTGGGTTTCCACTATATTAATAAGCATGACTTCCTACAGGCCTATCCTAAAGCTCGCGATAAGGTCTTTACTATTTAGAACACCCAGAGCGGCTTTCGCGCGACTAGGATACTACCTTATGATCCTAAAGAGGTCCTAAAGCGATTTAATTATTCAATATCAACCCCCACCCCCCCCCCTAAGTCGTGGAGCTTTAACATCATCCTCTACGCTTGCTACGCCTCATACAGTTCGACAGCTACATAAGAAAGCTTCTTCTATTAAAAAGATGCTTGCTAGGCAGTCCTAAAGTCCTACTAGTCCTTCTAAACGTGCTTTAGATGAGCTTATAAAGGGTTGCGAGCTAGCTATCTACAACACTACATTTACGCTAAAGGAATTGAATGATCTCCGCGCAGAAAGTCAAGTTCAAGCGCTTAAAAAGAGTCGATTAAAGCGCTATATGGCCCCTGTATAAGGCCTCCAAGTGCAAGAAGCAAGGGACCTTATTTTATTAAGAAATGAGTAATTGAATCAGGAAGATGGTGGTAGTAAGAAAGCTAATTAAACTACTCCACCAACTTTAGAACCCTGAAAGCGTGCCCCACCGACCTGTTCTGAATGTAATATTCAGGGGCATACTAGAACTAGATGTCCTAATCATCGCGCGACTTAGTTTGCTGTATTTAATTAAGAATTAGGTTGTTGGGAATAGCTTCAAGTTCGATAGGTGTAAATATATATTTGGGGGCGGGCGGATCGACCGGGGTGGGCGGAACGACCGGGAATTACGTTAACCCATAGGCCTTAGTCAGCCCGCGGGCTGACTAAGCCTACAGAGGATTTCCTCTGCTTGCGAAGGGTTGATTCCAACCTTCAGCGTTAATCTACCATAAGATCCTTATTCTTGGAATGAACCTATCGCGATAACCTATCTACTCTCATTACGACCTTTCACACTACTCGCAAACCTCTAAAAGGCCAAGGACCTTTATAGCAGACGAAAGACTACTAACTTTTAGTGGCTAGGCTAGTAAGTAGTAATAAAGATAAATTCTACCTTAGTATTTCAAGGCCGCATGGTATGACTGGGCAAAAGGAGATGCGGCTCAGGGGGAGAAACTGTCGGTCAAAGCAATGGAAATGCAGATAAAGCATCTAGGTGCAGAACATGAAGATACGCGAAGTAGTGTGAATATGGTGGGGTTGATATACTCAGTTGAGGGTCGCTGGCAGGCGGCAGAAGAGGTGTTTGTACAGCTATTGGAGAGGACGAAAAGGGTGCTAGGTGCAGAACATCCCGACACCATGACCAGCATGGGCAACCTTGCCTACACCTGGAAACTTCAAGGAAGGCGTACAGACGCCTTAGGGTTGATCCGAGAATGCTGTATACTGCGCAACAAAATATTGGGGCACAATCATCCATACGCCAGAAACTCCTATTCCGCTCTTTTTAACTGCCAGGAGGAGTATGCTTTGTTCCGAAATCAAACCCTTGTATCCGCACCACCTTACGGAGTAGATTGAACAAACACGGCATCTGCAGGAAATTCCGGCACAGCACTTAGCAGTCTCAGAGTGGTGGATTTGAGCGTTACTACATCACAAGACAGCCTTTTCCATTTCGTGCTTGTTCCTCCTGTCGCCGCATCTCCTCACTCAGAATAGCTGCCCTATCTTCGCCGAATACGCGTGTGAAGATTGTTGGGACATCTACGCCCTCACGACGGCCGGCGCGAAGACAGTCCGGGCGTGCGCCAGCCTGGATCAGCATTCTACAAGCTTGAAACCAAGCCTTATTCAGGCTCTGGTAGGTAGGACTTCCTCCGGCCCCGTCTACCTTATGGGTTTCGTGCATCGAGATGAGGAAAAGAGCCCAGACCGAATATCCGTCGTTGAGATACACAGGCTGGTTTGGATTCGCCCCGTGCTTAAGCAAGAGTTCAACCATGTTAGTATCAAGACTAGGGTCGTCCCGGACGGAGTGATAGGGCATGAAAATCGGCGTTGATCGGCGGGGACGAAGAGCGTAGTCCAACATCGGCCGACCCTGTTTCTCCAACCTGCGCGGGTCTGCTTCGAGCTTCGCCCGGACATACTTGACAAGCCGTGCTTGAACTGTCAGGGCGAGAAAGTTACAACGGCCACCTTCGTTGTACTGATCGAGACCTCGTGACGGCGGCGAATCTCGCGCATGTGTCCAATGGTTGCTGACATTACGAGCGCGATGGCTGTTGACTTTGTCTAGTTCATCAAGGAGGGGGACGAGCCGGGACTCTTCTTGAAGTGCGCTTCGTTTTTCGACCTCGCGCGCGTAGTACAAGAGCTCGTCTGTAAGCCCGATGATTCTGTTCGTGTAATTCGGATCTCGGAAGTTAGCGACAGGAAGGGCTTTTAGCAAACCGAGACAAATCCTGCTCAGAGAAACCAAAGGATCGAATTCTCGGACCAGGTGCTTCTTCAGCTCGGGTTCGTACACGCGTAGAAAATCGCGCACGGTGCGATGCAGGAAGTCGACGGAGTGGCTTGAGAAAACTGACGGTCCTCCAGCCAGAGGTTCATCGTCGATGACGAGAAGATCACTGCATCGATTTCTAACCCGGTCTCTCAAAGAAGGGTATAGTTCCTTGATTAGCGCCCTAGACGTGGGTGCTATTTGAGCATTAATGGCATAGTCCTCATTTTTCCTCTCCTCTTCGAGTAAAAAGAAGGCGTAGAGAGGCAGTGGTTGCAGCTCTTCCACGACAACGAGAAAGTTCTGCGCCATTTCCTCGCGATGGAGCTTGGGAATGCGAGAAATCATGCGTTCAAAGTAGCTGTACAGGTCGTTTGGGAATTCATCGACAATCTTTCGTAGGGTAGCCACCTGCTCGCTTCTCTCCGCTTCCCTGACGATGTCGTCGGTGACGAGAGAGACCCAGAGCCAGACTCCCGCGGCTCGAGCGGATATCTCGTCGATGATTTCGAGGCAACTAGGATCTGATGCGGCCAGTCGTTGCCAATTAGAACTAGAGGCCAGGCGTGAGTTGATATACCTCCTCATGTCTTCCTTCGTGAAGCGCGCGATATCACAGGGGCTGCGACTCCTTCTCAGAAAGTCCTCGTATTGACGATCAGGCCTGCTTGACACGCATATCTTGACATGCCCGCATCTGGAAAGAGTCTCGAGGAGTTTGATAATGTCTTTCTCCTCCCCAGCATATTCGTCGAGCCCGTCGATGAAGAAACAAAACTTGAAGTCCAGCTCAGTTTGTCGCCCGATGGCCTCGAAGACGTCCGTTAGATCTTCCATTTCCCACGCTTCATGGTCCAGACGGTCGGGGCAGACGGATAAGATAAGGCCTGGGGCAGATTTGAGGATCTGGTATAGGAGCGACTGAAAAAGGCCGATGCCGCTCTTTTGCATCTCTGTCCCTTGGTTCCAGAAGTAGTAAGCGGCCATGTATAATTTCGCGGTGCCAGACCATTTCTTCAGGCTGTGAATAGTGCGCTCGTCCTCGAAGACAAATTTCATCAGCGTGGATTTGCCACTGCCAGCCTGGTTGCCATTAGCCAAACACGTTCTACTCGCGACAATCGATAGATACGTACTCTTCCGGTAATGTAGAAAACGTTGTCGTCATTCTCCTGGTTCTCCAGCCATTGCACAAACGATGTTTTTCCCGGATCATATATCCAGTTGTTGGACCGCTGGTCCGCATCGCGGATCTGGTGCCATCGGCGGCGTAGCTCGGGGAAATACAGGCTCTTGAGTACGGCGATTTGGCGGCTGCAGGTGGACTGTTCGCGCTGCAGGACTTCAAGCTTCATTTTCAGGCTAGACAACTGCGCCACTTGAATCGCTTCTCGTCTCTCGTTGTCTAGCTGGGTTTGTGTTGTTAACCGAAGGATGTCTTGCCGGATAAGATCGAGCTTGGAGTCGTGATACACATCCATCCTTCTGTGGGAGGCCTCGATATCCGCGAGCTTGTTCATAATCGATGAGTGTTGGTCACTGTGAGCAGACAATAATAGTCAGGCCAGCCGCACCTATAACTTGGGCGCCTTTCCGAAGCAACTCACCGTTGCATAGCATTTCCTACACTCATTCGGATACGCGCATCCAAGCTATCAAGTCTCGTTCGCAGCGCCTGGAGATCGGAGCTCTTGAAAAGGCTTTTTGCAAAGACTCGTGCACTCTCCAGTGTCTGTGACCGGGCATCCGGCCGCACCGTAAGGCTCTCGATTGTTTTCTGCAGTTCGTCCTGTAGCCTTTCGCATTCTGTAACCATTGCGAGGATGCGGAGCTCATCTTCGGAAAGTTTCTTGTGGGACAGTTGCTGCTGCTTGACTTCAGTATTCAAAGCCCGAACGTCTGCCACGATCAGGTCAAGCTGGTGGATTTCTGCGGTTGTCCCGTGCTGAGAATCGCGTATGCCTTTCGCTCCCGACACAACTTTCAGGCCAAACTCGACGAAGGTGATGATGCTTGACGCGAGACCGATGATCGTGATGGGATCCGCCATGACGGCGTTGTCCATGCACCGTTTTCTGGCAGCGCTCTGCAATGACTGCCAGCGTCGGCAGAGAATGTTATTCCTGCTCAGCTGAAGTTGGATAAGCCACACTTGCTGTCGTAACGTGATTGGGCATGCCCACACGGCATCGTTGTCCTGTTGCAGGGGTTGAGCCTGGCGCTAACCGATTTGAGGACTGAGCTCACCAGCCGCGTCAATTTTGGAGTCTGCAAACGACCAGCCTGGAAATCATGGTGGGCAAATCAATTGGTTCTTCGGAGTGATGAGAAGACCGGGGATGAGGCGGACCAGATTTTCCGATGAAGGGCCAACGTCTCAACTCCGCCTCTGCAGGTGCCCCGCTCGCTCGCCCACTTCGCTCCCTCTAAAATAGAGTGGAAGGCTGAGAATCAACCACCCACGCACTTTCGAATCTGTCTTCTTCCCATGCCCGTTCTTTCCAGCTTTTATCGCTATTGATCCCAGCAACAATCCACCCCCGTTGCCGTGACTGCGATGAATATATATCGGTCTGATGGGAGAATATGAACCGGATCTGGAACGGGGAGAAGGGTTTGTCCGGCCAATTGTCCCTCGTTTATTGGACTGCGGGAACTAAACAAGATTGGAACACTAGTCGCCCCCAACATGTGGTTGACAATAATGTGCGAACACCTTTGCTCGGCAGCGCCCAGGGTCAGGCCGAACGCGGGTACGCAACCTTCTCCCAAAATGTTGAAGACAACGTGGAGACCCGACTTGATCTTCGAGACTTGGACAGTAAAACACGACTCTCGCAACATGACAACCCCTGTATCCGCCTGCCGACCCTGTTTCTCCAGCAGATAATATGGCTCACCCTCCTCGAACCATCCATACGTTTCGCTGGAGAGTCGATCGGATTTGTTTTCGCACTACTGCAATACCCCATGGAATGGGTCGGGCTCATCCTCAAATGGATTGGGGTCATCATTCTCTTCATCCTAGACGCGATGCTAAAAACGGTCTTGAACACTCTCCTAGTACCATTTGCTATTGTCGCTGCACTTCTAAGAGGCAGCCCCATTCTCTTGTTGGCGGCCATCCTTCTTGCAGTTCGGCTCTTTTTCTTTTGGTACTACTTATTGGCTCCACCAACTGCGTCCGCTTTATAGCTGTATTAGATACATTACCCTATTTACGCTTCACGGGTTGTGAGAACTTGCCCCTAATTGCGACTGCCGACCTCGAGATGCTGGCTTTTACTTTGATGCAGAAGCGCAAGAAGCCCTCTTGCCGCGCTGTCCATCCCTCTCCCGTCATTGACTCCTAGCTTCGCACGTAAGAGCACCGATTGTCGCGACTGTATGATCCATAGCAGCTTCATCAATCGGATATATAGTCATACGGACTGATTGTGCTCAGAGATTACCATGCGGTATGGGTAGGCTATGGTAAGTCTTTTTACTAGCTCGAACCCTTCACCAGGCATGCATTCTCTGCTGCGATTGGAGGTCCAAGACTATCACGTGGTTGCTTTTTAGACCAGTTACGTACTCAAAGTTGTATCTAGGTGAATTAATATGTAGAGAGTAACCGCTGGAGGCTTTCATATTTGTAATGTCATGAATCTGGGATCCAGTGTATACAATGGACTCGCTGCAAATGATTAGATGGAGTCATTGACTCTGTCAGTGCCAGGATGTCGAACTTCACCGCGTACGTAATATTTGGTCCACCGCCAGAAGAATATGAAGGTCCGATTCATCGAATCTAGCAGCGAAGCTGCGCTAAATACAGGAGAAATAGGCGTAATCTTACTAACTAAATAAGGAAATAGAAACGATACAAGGAATGACCAAGTGGGCACTGACTAATGGTAAGTTCGTCGGTCACTAAAGGTCGACACAGGCAGTCCACACGATCACGTGTTCTACCCCGCCTTCCTGTCCATCTGATTCAAGTTAGTCTTTCAGTACCACGCAACTGGTGGAGGAAACAAAGGAGAACAAGGGAAAACAATCGCGTGTTTCTCCTAGCTTACTTGTGCTTTGAGACATTATCTGCAGCGTACATTGAACGAGGACTGAACATTTGGTCTCTCTGGTGTGACACACCACAGGATATCGATCCCACGGCTTCCTACCGAATCTTTTTGTACGCAATTACTCCTTGATGGTGCAATATGGGCGGCATTTAGAAGATGGAGAACGTGGAGGCAGGACGTGAGTTGCCCTTATACCTTGAGCTATACAGATTTCTAAGATCATATGCGTATAGCCCTGGCAACGTGGAAGATAACGTGGAGACACCTCTGCTGCTGCGGGACCTGGATAGCAGAACCCCGTTGTGGCAACATGATAACCCCTGGATTAGACTGCCGGCATATATAATCCAACAATTCATATGGCTTGCCATACTCAAGCCATCCGGAAGCTTCATTGTGGAATGGACGACGTTCGTACTGGCCAAAGTTACCACTGGTCCCTTGCATGGTGCTAAATACATTGGTGGAAAAGCCAAATCTGCTCTTGATGCTTTCATTGATCTGCTATGGAGAAATTGCCACCCTTTCTTTGCTGTCTGGATTCTTTTCAGCCTTATTCCACTTCTTACTGCCTTGCTCCTGCTGGTTATACTCCTGATCATATGCATTCCCATTCCCTACCTTAATCCTAATGGGCAATGCCATTACCACAAAGGAGGCTGACCGGGAAAGCTAAATCTGCCAATGCTCGAGTCGTTACTGTCTAACGTCCATTTGACACTGTAGTCTGACATCTGGGTGGACAGAGGGACCAATGGTGTGGCCAAGGCATAGGTGTAGTGATTAGTTAGACAGGATCCAAGGTTGCATGCGTACATGCAAAGGTCAAGGGAGGCTATTCCGCCCCGGATTAGAGGTACATACGGCTGGGAGCAAAGACAACATAAAGAAACAGCGGTGAATGCGGCCTGGCCAGGTTGGTGTTCACTATATAGAGCGGTCAACCGTAGGAATATACTCGTCCTGCCAACCGCGATGGAAGATCTGTCTGAACCTCAACCAAATTTATGTCCATGACGATATCTATGAGCCTTTCGAATTCTCACCTATGAGGTCCTGCTGGGCTGACACAGGGAAGGACGGATTCCTGAAACACTGGTGTAGTGAATCGACGCATTCTGCCTGAATCGGCTCGTGACCGTTATAATCAACTCGTCCTGTTGGAGGGGCGGGTGATTGCTGACGTGGGACAGCCACAAAGCTCCCCTCTGGTTGAGACGCCCATCACGGACCGTGGCGGTGCAATAGCGTTCAGGGATGACCACAGCGCCTGGGTGGTTGGTCCATCTGCTGAGGGCAACAGAGCTGCAATATTGCAGCTCTGCTGCCCGTCGCGCGTCAGCCTGTGGACTGGCAGGCAATGCCCGCTTTCCCACACACTGACTGCTATCTGTCCAGATGGCGCTGGGCGGGATGGTAACTCTTGTCGTGGTGCAGCAACGTGCCCTCCATGTTTCCAATTAAAAGGCGGCCTATGCTACTCCCATGATAACAGAGCGTTTTCAATTTTGGCCGCAACCGCCGCCCCACCCACCGAGCTGAAGAGCTGAACACAGACCACGCTCTGATCTGGCGCTAGCGGAGTGGGCCAGGGCAACAACTTGCCCAATCCTGAGTCTTCACTCACTAGTTGCATTTGAATACTCAGGATTCGCATGTGGTCACCCACTATACTGCTAACCTACTAAAGAGTGTATCGCTTAAGTATAGCTAAGTACGTCGAGAAGAAGCCCTATTCTCCACACCCCGTGGTCATATGTACTGTGCATAATTGTAAAATGGCTTTTATAGTGCAATTGGAAATACAGCAATTTCTTAGGCCGTTCTTGGGGCCGACCCTTTTGGCCATCATGACCGTTCATGCAATCTCTCCACCGCAAAAGAAACTAGATCTGTAACAGAGGCGCCGCCCATGATCAGCAGCGTTGGCGCGTCAACATCCACCTCGCTCAGGAACCAGGCCCGGATGTCCATCGCGACAAGAGAGTCCACGGACTGGTCGATCAGAGCGGTGGACTCGTCGATCCGATTCTCCGGTGCGAGGCGCAGGATGCGGCGGAGGTGAGTGACCAGCGCGTCGCGGATGACGGCGTATGTTGCTTGTTTGTCGGGAAGCGATTGCAGCTGGGAGCGGAGATGCTGCTTCGTGGCCTTGACGTGGGCTTTGCTGGGTATGGTATCACTTGCGGTGTCGTCGGTGACAAAGTGATTAAATTTAGCGTCGCGGCGGCGGATTAAACGGGTGTTATTTAGGGTTCCGGTGTCTGGGGGGGTATAGTCAATCCCCATCACAACTTGGGCTACACTTATATCGCCGTGCAGGTTAGCGGACGCGGCCGCAGCCTCCTTTCCTGGGCGGCCAGATAGGATCGCTTCTGCAAAGAGCGTATGCAGATCCTCCTCCCCGATATTGACATGCCCCAGGGATTGAAAGTGCTCAAAGTCAAATGTGCCGGATTCGGCCGCTTGACCAATACCGAGAACAGCCGGGATATGCATCGCGGAGCCCGGCACGCCGCGCTTCCGTCTCTGCGTCACCAGCGCCGTCATGAACTGGTTGGCGGCCGAGTAATTTGCCTGGCCCGCCCAGCCGATGACGCAGGAGATGCTGGATGCGACGACGAAGAAGTCGAGCGCGTTGTCCTTGTAGAACAGATCGTCTAGGAGGATCGTCCCCTGGACTTTGGGTGCGGTTGCCGCGACGAATTGCTCGTGGGTCATGGCTGTGAACAGGGCATCTTGGAGGACCATGGCACCGTTGACGAGCCCGGCGATGGGCGGGAGTGTGGCCTGCATTGTCGAGTACGCGGAGCGGAGGGACTCTCTCGAGGTGATATCCATTGCAAGGGGTACCACTTTGGCATTGTACCTGTCCCGCATTTCCTCTATAAACTTCGGATGTGGGTTGGGCGTGCGGCTGCTGAGAACGATATGCCGCGCGCCATGTGCGATCATCCAGCCTGCAATCGACTGCCCCATGGCTCCAGCCATACCAACAAGCAGATATGACCTGTCGTCTCGAAAAATGATGCCGGAATCAATGGGTTGCACTCTGGCCGTGACAGTCTCAGAAGCAGTCCAGTCCACAACTGAAAGCGATTCCTGGAGAGGAGCATGTGAGCACACCGCATCGAGCGGAATGCATTCCACTGACAAGTCCGACGGATATTGGATACCGCCAAGTGCTTCTTGTAGAAGGTCTGCCACATGCTCTATCTGCGTAGAAGCGCTGATATTCTCACTGGCGACCTTGTGGCTCAGGAATGCCGATTTGTCCAGGCGCAGGCAAGCGGGAGCGAGGGCTTCAAGAATGCCATTATAAGAAAGAGCATCCGACCTCGAATCTTGCGCGAAATTGACGAAGAGAGAAATTTCGCGTGGGATTGTGGGCTTGTGATGCAGGGAATGTATCGAATGTTGTCTTTTCTGGTAAGCTCCCGTGGCAGTAGTGGAAATCACGTTCACATCGGCTTTGGAAGCCCTCGTTTGAACAGCCCGCTCCACTGCTGCATCTACCCCATGGAGAAGGATAGAGCTACCCGGCAAAGCATAACTCAGAATCCGCACCGCAACAAGATGCGCAGCAATAGACACAAGAAGTTCTACTGTGGGTGGCGTCGCAACAGAAATGCACCATGCAGCAGGGACTTTCGCAGGCGTTGTCTGGGAAATGCTCAAAGCCACCACTGGATCTCCAGTGCTAATTTCAATACCTGCGCACACTCGGAGGAAGCCCGCAGAGCCTGCAAATACAGTTTGTAGCACTGAGTGGGTCACGCGCAACGTTCGAGATCCGGTACCGGGACCCGGAAGGTGGGCCAAAGGCGACAGCTGGCGGAGAACCAGCTTACCGTTCTCCAGACCCGCAAGCTCCAAGCTCACACTGTGGGGATCTACGGTCTGCAGAAAATCCCGGTATCGAGAATTATATCTGGCGTTCTTCTCATGGTCTGGGACCAGCCGCGGAATAAGTAGTCGTCCTCCACGGACATACACCTCCGGCTCTGCTGTCCATAACAGGGAGGCATCGTCCCCCCAAACACCAAGAGCTACCTGCTGAAGTAATGCATTTGTTAGGTCAGTAGCTGTCGTGGGTTGGATGCAAGTTGGTAGGTTAGGGTCCAAGTCGTAAATCTGGATATGCATCGTTGGGTTCTCCGACTTGATAGTTCGAGCGATCCCTGTCATCATGTAACTGTATGGCCTATCTTCCTGTGACCCGCACGTAGCCCAGATCACAGTTCGTGCGTTAGAACATGCCTTGAGGGCTTCAAACTTGCCAGGGGTTACCCCAGCAAGGTAGGGTTCGTCCAGGTCTGTGAGGGAGAGTAGGCTGATACCACCTGCGAGAGTGCCTGCAAGAGGCTGTTGAAAGGCGGCATAGTCTTCGAGCGTAGAAAAGGTCCGCATATTGCTGAAACGGCCAGCGGCGAGTTTAGCAATATCCTGAGCAAGCTTAACCACTGGCCCTGTCGTACCCCCGATGATAACCAGCATCCCTGTTTGCACACCGGTAGGCAGTGCTTCAAATGAAAGTGGACTGCGCAACCAGCTTACCCGGTGGTCGGCAGCCTGGGCGACAAATAATACAAACTCTTGTGCTGTTCTTGCCGCAGGAAAGATGGCGTCGACCCCTGCAAACCCATTTGCCTTCAATGCCGTATCCCACTGACCTAGACTAAGAAGTGGCAACAATGGCAGCGATCTCTCAAAACCGCTGTGGCCCACAGGAGCTGTAGGTGTGGCCACATCGCCAGCTCGAGTGTCAGCGGCCGTCGCTGCAACTGAAAGAAGGAAACCTCCAGGCTTCAATAATCTGCCGAGACTGGACGAAGACGATTCGACTGTTTCCAAGGTAGGGCGAACAGCCACAGCCACGATAATATCATAGGAGCCTTCAAAGGACTCGTGCTCTTGGTAATTTTCTTCAATACTGAAAACTTTGCAGTTGAGTGGGCGCGATTTGGTGCAGAGGCGCTCCCTTGCACATTCGACTAACGCGGCCGAGGGATCAGTAAAGGTGTATGAGCCATGTCTGCCCTCTATAGCGTCCAGAACCGCCAAAGTTGTATCGCCGGCCCCTCCGTTAATTTCACAAATATCGCATCTAGGATACCGGTGTGAGATGGACAGTACAGCGTGGCGGACACACTCGGCAACAGCACTATCCCAAGAGGAGGAGCCCTCGTCATGGAATGAATCAACCATCAGCTTATTCACACTGTAGTCTTGCATTGATACCGAGCCCCAAACTCCACTTGCGGAAGAGGTGAAAGTCGCCGGTCCGTCTTTGGCTCTAGCGATCTCTGACTCAGGGAAAGCTGGTGCGTTTTCGAAGCGCGCAAAGATAGTCTTGTCGTCTGCCGGGGTGGCTGGGGTAACAGGAACGAGTGAGACTCCTTCAAACCGCGCGAATGCATACGATGCGTCTGCAGTATGTAGAAAAACATCACCAACGACAGCGGTCGCCTCTTTCGAACAGATCGATGTCACAGCATTCAGTGAATGCTGTTTCCCGCCTTTCCCAAGTGCCGTGAAGTAGGGATTTATGATGATTGACGCCACAGACACAGGGGTGTGCAGCGACCATATCTGCCCATCGCCGGGGTACGACCAAGCTGCAAAAATCGTTTGCAAGGCAGAATCAAGCATCCCAGGGTGAAGTGTCAGGTTGTCCTCCCACTCTGAACCGGATGGGTTTATTACCCTGCTAATGCAGTACCCGGGCTTGCGTTGGATGTTAGACACACCGTGGAACGGGGTCGAATAATTGTACCTTACTCGCGAGAGATTGGAGTAAAAGTGGTCTTCGTCCACACTGACTAGGCTGTATGATTTGTCTGCCACAATTTTCAGACTGTCGGGATCAGGGCTACCAAGTTGCGCGAATATGCAGCCTTGTGCGTTGAGAGCCATAGGGCTTGACTTGATTTTGGAATAGCAAGCCCATTTGGCACGAACGGTGTCTTCTGTTGTGATAATCGAGGAAAGGCTAAATATTGTCTCTATGGCCGCATCATCGGTGTCAAAAACCATTGCCCGGGTGATTTCCAGATGTGCAAGTTGCAAAACTTGTATGGAATCCTCTGGCCGAGAATTGATGAGTACGAGTCTGAGGGCTTCAACAGCGGCGCTTATGTACCCCATCGCCGGGAAGACGGTCTGGCCCTGGAGCCGGTGGCCGCTGAGCCAAATTACCTCACTCGGCCGTAATATGTTGCGCCATTGATACACGCCGGGAGTGGCTGCATCCAGACACGGAAATCCGAGTAGAGTGTTGAATGGATGCGTCCTGGTTTTGGACAAGGAATGATCCCCAAAATGGCCGTCGTGCCAATGATCCCGCGTATGATCAAAGGGATACGGTGGTAAATCTTCAAGCATGGTCGGGCGCCGCGCGGTTCCAGAAAGTAACCTTTCGACCGCCGAGAATTGGACGCTGTTCGCACCTAGATGCGTCCATATATATCCCAAAGCACTGCTTAATTCGTCAATATCATTTCTCCCACGGTGTATTAGGCCAGTATAGGGCACCTCAGCTGCGTGGTCAAGCATGGACCCAGCTGGCCCTTTTAGCGCTGGGTGGGGTCCAATCTCGATGGCCAGATCAAAGGGACCTTTCTCCAGGGCGAGTGCAAGCGCACCTTTGAACAAGACAGGATTGCACATGTTGTCAATCCAGTACTGGTTTGTCAATTTGCTGGGACTCATTATTTCACCGTCGAATACTGTCGAAAACCAGACTGGACATGATATATTGGCCTCCCGACCTGGCCGAATGCCGCAAACGTTCAGGGAATCTAGAAACGGCCCTGCACAAGGAAGCATATGCACACTGTGGTAGGCCGTGTCGACTTTGAGCCGTCGCGAAAAGAACCCCCGCGCTTGGAAGTCTTGTATCGCCTCCGTGACCGCATCCTCGTCGCCGCTGAGTGTTACCAACGAGGGCGAATTCTCTGCGGCAACATCCAACCTTCCGGCAAAATGATTATTGCAATAAGCCATACCCTCCGCTGCTGAAATACCAACAGCGACCATGGCTCCCCGAGATATGTTAGGATTGGGGCTGGCGGCGAGACGAGTGTGCAAGCCGCGCAAATACGCTACACGAATCGCATCGGCTGCGGAGATCATTCCCGTAGCATATGCAGCCCCCAGCTCTCCAGATGAATGACCAACGACGGCAGTCAAAGATATCCCAGCGGCGCGAAGGATATCCACGAGGAGGATTTGCACCGCAAGAGAGAGCGGCTGCGAAACGGCGGCCTCGGTCACACGCGAGGACTCGGGCTGGGCAACGAGCTGGTCATAAATAGACCAAGTAGGGCAGTGGTCTAGATTCTTGATGGTCTGCAGGGCTGCGTCGAGCTCGGCTATTCTACTGCGGGCAAAAGGGGATTTTTCGACCAGTTGCGCGCCCATTCGGGGCCACTGCGCCCCCTGGCCAGTGAAGATACCGAGGACTCTGGGTGGCTGGTGCCTTGCATTGTGTCTGATACCGAGCTTCTCACTCTGGATCATCTCCAGAGCGTCTTTCCCATTTTGAATCCATGACGCGGCAACCGCTGGGCGGTATGCGCGGTAGGGGAGGGTTGACCGGCGATGTTGCAAAGTGTATGCCAGGTCTCGAAAGTCAACATTCGGAGTACTGCGTAGGTAGGACCCAGCTGCCAACAACATCTGTCTAAGTGCAGCTTCTGAAGCGGCCGAAAACACCAGGGGACTGAAATGCGTTGTCGGGGCCGCATCGTCCTCCTGTTTCGTTGGAGGGGTATACTCTTCGAGGATGCAATGAGCGTTTGTTCCCCCGAATCCAAAGCTGGTCAAGGAGAATCTCCGGTCAGATCTTGGAAAAAATAAACCATCACACATGGGAGCCCATACCTGTTTACACTAGCTCTTCTGACTTGGCCAGGAGCAACCGGCCACGCAAGAGCGACCGTGGGGATTTCAAGTCGGTCAAAGAAAGGCGCCACGCTGGGATTCAGGGTTTTGAAATGAAGATTCGGCGGGATAACTTTGTTCTGCAGCGCCAAAGCCGTACTTATAACACTCGCCAGCCCCGCCGTCCCCTCCGTATGCCCAATAACAGTTTTCACTGAACCGACCATCAACTTCGGCGCCTCCCTCGCCGCAAGAGATCCGTGCGGAAAGAACGCGGTCGCTATTGCCTCAGCCTCCTGTGGATCTCCGGCCTGTGTCCCCGTTCCATGCGCATGGCAATATTGCGGCCGGTCACTCAGACAGTTGACCGGATCCAGCCCGGCGCTCCTGTAGCACTCAGAAATCAGCGCTGCTTGATCGCGGCCGCTGGGCGCGGTTAGCCCGGATGTCCGGCCATCCTGATTGACCGCTGTTCCCCGGATGATGCACTGGATTGGGTCATTGTCGGCTAGGGCTTGGGATAGGGTCTTGATGATGACGGCGGCTACCCCTTCGCCGCGAGCATAGCCATCCGCTGAGGCGTCCCACATTGCACAGCGGCCGCTGGATGATAGCATGCCGAGGTTGCTTTCAGAGATAAACATTGCTGCCGAAATGAGAAGAAGGCTGTTAGATTCTTTCGTCATTCCGGACAGGGGCAAAAGTACGCACAGGGGCTTAGAATCAGATTGCTCCCCGCTGCAACGGCAACTTTGCTCTTGCCACTCCTCAATGCCTGCACAGCCAAATCCAACGCTACCATGCTGCTAGAGCAGGCAGTATCAATGGTCATGCTCGGCCCATGCCAATCAAAGAAGTACGAAATCCGATTTGCCATGATTCCCCGCTCCACGCTTGAAGCGGTGTATCTCGGTAGAGCTTGCCAATCCCGGCTCAGCATCTGATGCCAATCGTCGCACATCATGCCCACATATACTGCGGTATCAGATCCTTGGAGCTGTTCCATGGGCTGACCCGCGGCGTTGAGCGCGTCAAAGGTAACCTCCATCAGCAAGCGTTGCTGGGGGTCCATGGAGTCAGCCTCTCGAGCTTGAATATTGAAAAACGGAGCATCGAAGCGGGCAATGTTTTCATCAAGCCAGTAGGCCTTTGTTGCGTTTGTTGTGCCGTGGTGGCTGGCGACTGGATGGTAGAAGGGGTCTATGTCGAAGCGAGAGGGCGGAGGAGTGCTAGAGATGTCTACAGGGTTCTTTATCAATGACCAGAGCTTGGAGGGAGCAGAGCATCCTCCAGGAAACCTAGCTCCGTATCCGATGAGGGCGATGGGCTCGTCCATGGTTGGTGGTGGCATTGTGAGTAGAGAAAGTAGTATCAGGATCCGCGAGAGCAGCGCAAGAGGCAAGTTGTTGAAATGTTGAATGGAAACGTACCAACATCGAAGAGAATGCCAAAAGTTATATGCTGACTAGCAGGGCGCTCATTAATGCTCACTAGAGAGCCTCGCGATGTTGGCATGGATTGCAGGGTCAGCGTGTGTAACACAGGGTGTGTGACACGGGGCAGAAAAAGGGCAACTGGCGGCCCCCATCCATCCAGTTCTTCTCTTCTTGCCCGTTACGAGTTTTCTTCTTTCTACGAGCACCGGCGTGCAACAAGAAGCCTCAGCAGGCCAACTTCATCTAGCCCCCTCAGATTGATTTATTATTCTTCTCGATCCCCCTTACCGTTGCTGGTGTTGTCAGCTCAGCAGGTCAATCTACAAGCCATGGCCCCTCCTAAGTCCGCAATAATCGTGAGTCCCAACAGCCTGACTCTCACTCAAGCGCTATACCCGTAGCCACCTATGGCAGAGCACCAGCTAACTAATAATGCCCAGATCGGCGGCTCCATCTCCGGCCTCCTCCAAGCCCTCCAGCTAAAACGCATGGGCGCCTCCGTCTTAATCCTCGAACAGGACCCCTCGCACACCCGCGGCACGAGCCATGATTCCGGCGTCACAATCGGCCCCAGCGTCATCGCCATGCTCAGGAAGTACGATGCGACCGCCGGTACGCCCTCGGTTATCCCGGCGGAATTTCTCAGCGTTGCGTTGCGGCAGCGCCCGCGGGTGTTCAGTACAGCATGGAGACACAACACGAGTAATTGGGGCTGTCTCTATTCAGTGCTGAGGGCGAATGTCGACGGCCTTGTGTCACATGTTGTGCCCGTTCCACCGGAGAAGAGGGAAGGGGATGGGCAGGCGGTCTATAGACCCGGGAGGAGGGTTGTTGGGATTAAGTATGACCAGGCACAGGGGGCCGTGAGTGTGTTGCATGTGGATAGTGGTAGAGGAAGCGGAGGTCATTCAAAGCACCGCAAGGCGACAGAGGAGGCCGAGATGGAGGTTGAGAGAGTGAGTGCTGAAATGGTGATTGCGGCAGACGGGGTCCACTCGACGATCCGACGGTTGATGGGGATCCCCACGCACTGGAAGTACGCGGGCTACATCGCCTGGCGCGGAACGGTGTCCGAGGACCGGCTGTCGCCAGAAACGGTACGATACTTCTCCGACCGGCTGACGTTCTCCCTTCTCGGGGGCACGTACTTGATCACCTACATCATCCCTTCGCAGCACGGGTCCGTTGATCCCGGAACACGGCGTCTCAATTGGGTGTGGTACTACCCAGCCGCCGAAGGATCAGCGGAAATGAACGCCATATTCACGGATCTCAACGGTGCATTGCAGCCTCATACAGTGCCGCCCCACCTCCTCAACCCTGCCGTCTGGTCCGCGCATCGTCGGCGCTATATCCCTGGGCAAACCACTGCAGCCGTGGCTGAGCTCGTCATAGAGACATCCCAGCCGTATGTGACCAAAGTCGGTGAGAGTGACGCTCACCCGTCGACCTTCTTCGACAACCGACTTGTGCTAGTGGGGGACGCATTTTCGGGGTTTCGCTCCCACATGGGATTGGCTTCTGAACAGGCCGCACGCCACTGTTTTCAGATGGAGAGGGTATGGAGGGGCGAGATGACCCAGGCAGCAAGGGACCGCGAGGCTATACTATATGCAAGGAGGCTTTTGCTGCTGAATCGACTGGTTGGATTCTTGGGGCTGGAATGGTGGTGGGCGGAGATCAGGACCGTGCTGGCTTACCTTTGGCTGATGATGATATGCAGGTTCATGTAGGTGAGATTCGTCGTTTGGTTTCCTTATTAGCAATCTGGTGCAGTATGACTATCTATCCGGAGAAAGGCAACATGATTGCGGGCTTACTTGGTCAGGCTAATCTCTCTAAAGCATGCTAGGAGTTGAGACCAGAGTATAAGCTGTATACCTTCCGCCCTCCCCTGCCTGCCTGCAGCACAAAACTGCAAAACGGACTATCCCGGCGGCTGAGTCAGAGAATGCCATCAAGTAGAAGAAAAAAACTAATCTTATCCATCCATCGGACACAGCGCCGAATCTCTACTAAGACACCAGGATAAATACACCTAGCACAACCCAGCCGAGAACCAGAACAGCTCCAGGCTAATTTCAGCAACTCCCATACCCCACCGCAATGTCTCAAACGCCCCAAATCATACCAACGCACCTATGCAGCGTAACAGTCACCCTTGCCCCTAGCCTCTCCCCCATCCCGCTCCTAGGCGGCGGCACCCGGATCCTGTCACCCATAACTGGCGGGACGATCACCGGCGCCGGGTTCAACGGGACGATCGACGGCGGGCTGTCAGCCGCAATCCACCTTGACGATCATTCTCATGCTGACGCTGTCCCCAAAAATAGCGACAGTAACAGCAACGACGGCACGACGACAGACAAAATCACCAAGCTCGCCCTGATCCACGTCTACGGGCACGCGGACGATGGATCCCCCTTTTACATTGAGGAGGCCGGAATCGGGGCCGTGGAGAAGCAGAACACTCGGGTCATTCTTCAGGTCGGGGGGCGGTATGCTCCTCTGCAGGAGGCCTTTTTGCTCGGGCAGCCTGGGAGGGAGCCGGGGGGGTCGGGTGCACGGGTCGAGTGTTGGGTTGTGCCCTTGTAGGTGGGGGTGGATCTTACCCTACCTATAGGTCTTGGATTTGGGTGCGGAGTGCCTGGTTGGTTGCTAGTCGGACGGATGTCTCGGTTTACATTATGGCTTATTATTGTACGTGGGGTGTACCTTTCTCATCGGAAATATTGCAAGTCGCGCCGGGGCGAATTTGTGCGGAGAAAAGTCAGACATCAATTGCGAATCGGAGTGAAACAGTTGTCTTGACGATCCCAAAGACAGCCATTACGTGGATGGGTAAATGGGGGGATGGTGACACTGCAGAGCTGGTGAGCGCTATGCATAACCAGACGGGCTCGCCGATCATCACATAGGTAGATCTTCATCGGCTCTAGCCAGGGATCCCTGGACCATTGATTGGCAAACAGGGAAGAAAGTAGGTGAGATCCCGTTTGAGGTAGTCAGCTTACGAGCGTCAGAGTAAATGACATCTCGTCAGGTGGCTGAAAGCAGTTGCGGAGAATGTCAAGTTAGTACTACCTACAGCAAGCGGTCAACGCGATAAATCCTTGTCTGCTTAAAAGCGTATTTAGAACGCGCCAGGATTGAAATGGCATGATGATGATTATTGTTCAGAACACATTCCTCGTCCTTTGGTCTATCCCTCACAGCTGACCCTTCGCGTTGAGCAAGACCTCGACTTCAGCCATGACACCCAAATGATCCGTTATCCAGGGCTTCTCGAACCCCAGCTCCACAATCTGCTTCCGTTCATCGTCCCCCTCAACCAGGACGCCTTGTCCAAATCTTGCAAACTTCACCAGCCTGACATCTCCACGGAAATAGACCTTGTCCATCCGAGAACATCCAAACTGCGCGCGCTGAGCTGTTGTCGCTTGCTGGCCCCATGTATATCCTTCCTCGGTATCTTCCCGTCCGCCCAGCTCGAGGAATGCATCCTTGAGATTATTGTCCACATGCAGAGTGCGATCAAATGGTTGGATGGCATTGAAATCGCCAGCGGAGATTGCAGCGTCCACTCCGTCCTGATGCATATACCGCGAAACTATCTGCATCTGCGGCGGGCGGTAGGGAGGGTCAAGGGCCATGGACTCTAGGTGTGTGTTGCAGAGGCGGATGCGCTTTCTTTCAGGGCCAAGTAGAACATCCACAAAATGGGCATCACGGTCCATGCGGGTAAGAGAGTAATGCACACGGAAGACAGAGGTAATAGGCAGGTGCTTGCTGATAAGAATCGTCGTGCCATACTGCGTGGTGGCCCAGTTGGTGGTGTCGATGTCGGTGAGATAAAAATGGTCTCGAACCCAGGGAGTTGCGGCAATTGTCTCAAAGTCCGAAGGAGTACATTCTTGAAGAAAGATAACAGGAGCAACATTTGGTAGAGAGAGGCGGATGATTTGATGAAGGTGGGCAAGCGCTGGGCGCATCCGAGCTGCAGCAAAGGGGAGGATAAAATCAATATTCCAGGTGTAAAGTGCAATTGTAGTAACTGCTAGAGAGTCTTTGCTAGTTGTTGGCCCCTCAAGACTGTATGTGGGCTTGGAGATCCAGGTGGATGTTGCAGGGTCAAAGCCATAGTAACACTGGGGATACGGCTCATCCAAGGTCCAGGGCACAGACGTCTTTCGGAACTCCGCGGTGCCCCTAATAGCCTGGGCCATAAGCGCATCCATGGTGAGTATGAGGTACTGATGATGACTAGCAGGAGCAAGGGTTAGGGGACGATGGAGGATGAGGGTGGGAGAGGCGGAGGGAAGAAGAAGTTATGTGGTTTAACTTATACAGAGAGACCACAAATGAAAAGGCTGGGTAAGCGGGACAGCCGGAGTCTTACATTCCGGAACAAGTTCACGAAACACATCCACATCCCTGTCGTTATTTTCTTTGTGTCGAATTCTTGGCGGTCCAGCCTTCGGGCGTCAGCTTACGCTGCAAGGGTGCCACTCCCCGCGAATGACGGCCCTTCCACCACAGTCCGGCTGTCATACTCATGGAGGAGGTCGCTCCTGCTGCTGGCCTCCCTGATCAGCACTCGCTTCCCCCCACTCCCCCCGATCGTCACAATCTCTGGTGGTACATTAGGCTTTTTCTCTTCTCTGTTCGGCCACAGACGCCCCAACCCCGCCCGCTTCAACAGCACAGTCAGCAGCGGGCGCAGCGGCGGTAGGCATGCTGCAATGATCCCGACGCAAGGCTCAACTGTCGTCCAAAGCAGGTTGTCGGGAAGGATCCCTACCGCGGTTAGCCACTCGCATACTCTGGGTTTTCGTGTGACAGGAGGGGTTGAGGGGGAGTGCTCACATGACGGATCTGTATTATCCCTCGACATCTCCCTGATCTGCGCGAACCGTACAACGCTCGCCGCACACCCCACACCCCCTGTCAAGAACACTGTGCTGAGCGCAATCTTCTGGGTCGTCTTCATATGCAGCTTCCGCACCTCGTTGATAGGCAGGGACAGCATGATAAAGTCCGTGGTGAAGTTCGGCACTGCCTTGCCAATAAATACTTTGACATTGTCAATGCACCAGCCCTCGGCAAAAAGATCCCAGTTCTTGCGGATGGGATGGCATCCAAAGACCGAGACGAGGATACATGCGATCCACCACATCGCGACCACCACGCTTATGACCAGTGTACTCCATTTCATAAAGCGCGTGGGGAAGATGCGATAGTACATCGCCAGGATACTCCACTTGGTCGTAGCGAGGACCGTGGCGTAGAGGTGGTAGGTTATGAAGAAGTACTCCTGCATTGTTGCACTCTCCTCTCTTGTAAGCACGACGACGTGTCTCCCGACCGGAACCTTCTGATATCCAAGTGCAAAGACAACGTACATCCCCCATGCGAATGCCTTTTGGGAGCGATTAACCGATTAGCTTCGTATTCAGTTTAGGTTTGTGCCAGGAAAAAATCTCTTACAATCGAGACGAGAACCAGCCAGTCATCGAGATGAAACCCGACCTTGCGCCACAGGTGAACTCCAATTCGCAGCGCAACGAAGACAGTCGCCAAAGCTGGCATCACAGTGATTTGCACAAATGAATCTCCGCTCGAGTCCTCCGCGAGATACTCGGGCGAGTAATCAGACAACGACATGGCGAATGTTGAAGACCTTCAAAACGTAAATATCAAGGATGATAGCGTCGGGAAGAGAGATTTAGTAGATGTAAGAAAAGCCTGAGCCCTATTTCCAAGTGGAGGGCGAAAAGGATGAACATGTATAGCGGAGGGTTAGCACCAGCATAAGCTGTCATGCTCGTTCTCGCTCCCCCTCGCACCATTCTAACACCCGTGAATTCCAGAACCATGCATCAGCAGCTGAGATTAGGTGAGATAGTTGAGGTTAATCTGGGTAAGGTAGTACAGCCCTAAAAGGATGTTGAGCCATAATTAGTCCACGTACCCTGCTTACAGGCTCAAGGTGCAGAACGCTGGCGCTAGGGAGACACCAGAACCGGGGTAGGCGCTGTAGATCCAACCTTCGTCCTACACCGTGGGAGGATTCTACTCTAGGCCAGGTTCACAGCCCTGCAGGCAGAGACGAATTGTAATATTCCTCCAATGCATGTGTGTAGCCTGCCCAGTAGGTGGTTGGCGCCAAATGCCGGGCGCGGGGCTTTGTGTAATTGGAATGATCAGGCTCACGGATCCATCATGCCATGCCATTCCAGACAAGGCTGGGGGGATTATTTTGTGCTACCTGACAAGGAAAGATAGGTCACTGCCAGTAATATTCCACTCACTATATGGAGTAAGGAGAGATTCTCTACTTGTACTGTAGGAACGCTGGGTATCACAAGGCTATCATTGCAAATGGTTCAATAAATCATGAACTTTCAGCCCTGCCAAAGAGACGACCTCGGGTGCCAAGGACGACCAGCTCACTGACAATTAACTAGTCACCAAGCCAGGTGTAGCAATGGCTTTTGGTCTATTCTAACTATAGCACATCCTTCCTAATAGGGTAATAACTTTCTCTTTAGTCGCTGGGGCCACTCTTCTTTTCGTCTCACAGCGGCTGCCTTGCCGATAAGGCAGCGATAGCTCCTGTGCGGACGGATGCCTGGCTAGCAAGGCATCGACAACCGGCTTCGGTGCCCGACCCTATGGCCCTGTAAGCGCTTGGTGATCGAACTCCTGTATATTAGGATAACCAAAATCGCTTGACTAGAAGAACCCCAAGCAATCCATTCTGATCCAATTAAACCATTGACATCTGCTTCCTAATTCGTACCACCCGTAGTGCTCCATCTTGTACCCCGCTAGACCCTCTGAAGCAGGGAGCCCATGTGTCAGGTGAACGTTCGGGATCGCGAAAGTATAGATAAAGTAAAGTAGCCAAAGAAAATGTGATGTAAGTAAGGAATCCCTCGCTGCTTGAGCCTTAGAGGTCACAGCAGTATGTATATATAGACAGCGAGGAGGTAATATACGAGGCGGAACATGAGGGCCCGTCTTACTTATGTGTCTAACCAGCGAGCTATGTACCCCAGTGACTGCGGGCTAGGCTGGAATCTTGCGAGAAGGTAGGCGCGAGCTATGCCACACTGTTGTATATATACTAGTCTGTATGGAATAGTGGACGCGCATAATACTACTATGGGGCTAGCATGTTATTTCCCCGCTCCCCCAGTTAGTATACGACTATGCTACCCAGACGCCCCCGCGTCGGTGGATGCTCTTAGGTATTTTATGCTACAAATTCCAGCGTGCTCGTGGCTAATGTCGTGGGAAACCAACCTGCGATCGCGGCAAAATAAAAATCCGGCAGCGCCGAGTCAGGCTCACGAATGAAGATATGTCATAGTGAAGAAGAGCGCTGGACTTTCCTCCGGCCTCAATGGGCAGTCCGCTGTTGGAAAGAACACTGTGGCACCCAACTGGGGTTGTGGAGGTCTTGGTGTCCGAAGGGATACGATCAAGCGCCGATTGAGCGTCGAAAAGCGCCCTCTGTTTCAATCAACAAACTATTAGATTCACGGCTGTGTATTACGCCCTGGGAGCAATCCGCGGAACGTTGAAGTTAAAAAGATATACAGTCAGATCAGCCATGAGGTAACAAACCTACACACGACCGAAGTGGAGCTCGGGTGTTGAACCGTTGACAATTCTCCTCGCGAGCCTTGCCTGGATGTCTACTAAGAGTCACTCGGTGCCAGAAATGAAGTAGAGCTATCCGGACTGGAGAGATGACAGACGCCAGGGGGCCGCTGGTTCCAAGGTATTCACGTCTGTGTGGCTGGAATGATGTGAATTCCCCGGGGCTTCCGTTGATCATAGTGAGCAAACAGCAAACTGAATGCGTGAGATTCCCGCTGTGGAAGCGCTTCGTATCCACAGAGTAGAGCAGTTGCGATGCATATAGGAAAATCTCCGTCCCTTCCTGCTTTGCATCCACTTGACTAGACGTCCCTAGGCTCGGACTTAGGTTGATTTTTTTTTTTTTTGTCTTCGTCTGAAAACCATCTGGTTCCATCTTAAAAGGCCGCTCGCTTCACGTTCCATTCTGCAAAGGTAAGAGAACCCCGCTATTGCCAGGAATTTATTATCCAACATGTCTATCCAATGGGAGTACCATACTACAGTGCGTTTTAAATTCTATAGTATGAATATGTGTGAGTGGATTCCTACAAGCACGTTTAACCTTTCTAATATTAAGCGGCATAGCACAGGCTCTCATGTTAGCTATAGCTGCTTACGCATACGCAGTCAACCCATGATTAGGTCGTGCTGCTGCAAATTGCTGCTAATTTCTTCCTGAAATAAAGCACATATAGCAAGCTCAGGCTATTTGTGTAACTTAAACGTCACTATATGCCGCATTTCACCTGTAGATTTGCAGTAGAGGGCATGATCGCCGCGATAGGGAAGCTCGGGCCATTATGTTGCGCATAAAAATTCATAGGCTCAAGCTGGAACTGCGCCTGGCAATGTACTTAATAATGCACAAGTCAGTCTCTTAGCACACAGTATTCCGCACACAACCCACTCGAATGCAAGTTTTGTCGGCACCCACAAGTCCTAATATAGAGATCAAGCACCACAGTATCATGTGGAGTCGCGCTGGTCGTGAGTATTACTTTTGGTACACAATTTGAGGCGTATGACAACAAGGCATCTGATTAGAGAGAGCTTTATTCTCTAAGTATACAGCGCGGAAAGGCCGCACCATCCCCCTGTATCCTCTAGTATTAAGACATCAAGCATAGTCTCACAATTGACTAGACTCGCGATGAGCGCAAACTCTAGCTATGGCGTGGGCGAGGTCGTTGATTGAGGTCTGTATTGGAGCCTCCTGCTGATATACTTTAATAACAACCAGATCAATCCGCCATCAAACGTGCCAAAGCCTCAGGAGTATCATACTTCTTTAGTAAGTCTCCCTTGATCTACTCAATTGCCTCCGACCTCTCCTTCCTCACATTAATCAATATCTCACCAACCATCCAGAGGGGGCGCGCGTTCCGTCAAGTCCATTAACAGCGCTAGAAAAACATCATCCTCCTCAAGCTTGTCCAACTCCCCATCTCTCTTTAACCCATCAAATACCTTCAACATATTCTCGAACCCAATATCTCCTGGCTCTAGGGTACATTTGAACGTACTGGTCTCATTCCCTACTACGAACTGATGGTACCAGCCTAGTGGTACGGTCAGAGGCTTTCCTGGCTCCAGTGGCGTGAGAGTCGACTTGAAGGCAAGTTCGGAGGTGTCAGCTGGTCCAGTATGGACGGATACGGAGCCATTGATGAGCTCGAACGTCTCAGAGAAGCGGCTGTGGTAGTGAGGAGGAACGGAGGTGCCGGGGGTGGTCGTTTCAATAATAACAGTACGGGCATTATTATTTTGAGAGGCAGACTCGATGATATGGTACTCCCGTTGATCCCAGCGACGTTCCGCAGGCATCTTGTTCACTTACGGAGATGTTTGTAAGCAACGTAAAAAGGTGGTCCAAAATAAGGTAGATAGATGACAATGTCAGGTTTCAAGCCAATTCATATGCGGTAAAGATCAAGGGCATAACATATTTTATTTCACAGGCAGGAGAAGAATCTGGACACGTGGGGAATAAGTGTTAAATCCCTATTAGTCTCTAAACTCCAATATCCTCACTATCAGTCCCCCCCGCTCTATCTCCTTGTATATACAGACATCAGAGTGAATTCTTACAACGCCCATGCACGGAGGCTGCATATGAGTCATAATCATGATCTAACGTAATAAAAGGGAAATAATCAGATTATTCTCTATTGGGATAGCTGTAGGCTTTATTATAGTTGTCACCGTCACAGGTGGGTCTGGCCGTTGTTGTGTGGTGGGCCGTGGCAGAATAGGTAAGATGCAGCGCTCGTATAGGCTTTGGGGTTACATCCACACTTACATGTAAGCAGCCTCTCTCGACTCAATAGATGAATATTTGAGCTAGTCCTGCAGGACCAGCGGGTAATATAGCAGCCTACTACGACCCTACATACGGCACGATCGAGCTGTGTGAGACTGCACCCCACTGATTTATCACATCTTCTTAGGTAATGCTAAGCTTGTGTTTCGTGAGATCACTAAAACTTGATTCGTTTGGGGGTTTGGTGAAATGGTGAATGAGGTGAAGAAAGCAAAAGCCAGCGAGATTAAAAAGATGAAGCATGGTTTGTTGGAGTAAATCCCTTTGTTTGGGCAAAATTGTGTGCTTTTTTCGTGGCACTGCGACATTTTGGAAGGTGGCCGAAGGATGGGTGGTCTAACTTACAAAGTCTGATGGGCGTGCCGCCCTCAGCGATAATCCTTTCGTTCAAAAAAGTATGTAATTAATGAGCGACTCGCCGGCTAATCAGCGACTAGTAATGATGTCGCGGAAAGCTTTGATTTGGTTGTGTGGCGGCATCGTAAAAGTAGGGTGTATCTGAGGCTGTATTGTTGAGGGCGTTGATGATCTATTGTGTGCGGGGCTGGTGGATTTTGCAATAATGTCCACCATAATTAGGTGCGGCTTTTCATGCATAATAATTGGTAAATAATTAGTAACAGTGTAGTTATTTCTGATAGATTTGTCAGTAGACTTTACAAATCGCCCCGACAAACATTGACAAATGCAAGACGAACATTGAAACACTACAAGTATATAAATTAAATAAATAATATTATGTGGCCTTCGCCCAAGGGCCTACAAGGATATAAGGTTAGCATGTGTTGTTGGCGAATCTTCTTCTCCTATATCAAACAATCACAACAACCTTCATGCGAACAAACGTGCCTCTCTACTAGATACTCAGGAATCAGTCGCTAAGCCAAAGATTCTTTAAAGTTGCTACCGACACACATCCCCCATCTCTTATCCTCGACATCGCTTCTGCCATGGCTTCCACCACCAACGTCCTCATCTCCGGTGCCAGCCGAGGTATGTGTTATACTACTAGGGTTATTCCTCAGACGCAGGGCTTTTCACCCTGACATAATTTTGGCAGGACTCGGAAAGGCTTTCGTCGAACAGTATCTCGCCCGGCCAAACCACACTGTCATCGGTACGGTCCGCGACGTCAAGAGCGCTGCCGCTGAGGAGCTGCGAGCGCTGCCCGCGGCCGAGGGCAGCAAGGTCGTACTGGTCAAGGTTGAGTACACCTCGACGACTGACGCCGTGGACGCTGTCAAGGAGCTCGAGGCACAGGGTATCACCAAGCTCGATATCGTCATCGCCAACGCCGGCATCGCTGGCCAGCAAGGGCGTATTGAGACCATCGACCCCAAGGGCCTCGCAGAGGTCTACCTGGTCAATGCCGTTGGCCCGGCCGTGCTCTTCCTGGCGCTGAAGCCGCTCCTCGACAGGGCCGAGACGCCCAAGTGGTTAGCCATAAGCTCCGGTCTCGCGTCGCTCCACGATCTGCACAAGTACCCCATGTTCCCGGGGTTCCCGTACAACGGGTCCAAGGCGGCGTTGAACCACTTCACCAAGACCATCCACGTTGAGAGTCCTAAAATTATCGCCTTTGCCGTTTCTCCTGGGTACGTAGCTGCGCCAATTAGGCAGATGAAGGCCGTTACTATGAGCCTGCTGATAACTAATTGGGTGTGTTTGTCTTGCATAGGTTCTTTGAGACCGACATGGGACGCAAGACTGCCGCATTTTTCGGCTTTGAGAACCCGCCCTTTTCGGACATCAACACTAACATTAAGAGCATTATCGGGCTGGTAAGCATTTTCCCAGCGGTCTACCTTTTTATCGATGCTATATCGCAGTCGTCAGCAGTGGGCTAACTGTTGTTACCAAGGTGGATAATGCGACTCGGGAGAACTATTCTGGGCAGTTTCTCAATTTCGATGGACAGCTCATTGAGTGGTGAGAGGCCAGTCTGAAGGACTAGTATGCTAATAGTCCTTAGCTACTGTTCTTAGGCATTTCAGATAACTAAAATCTCTCTGTTGATTTTCTTCTCTTCTTAAGTACTGAAAAATGGTAGGACAATTCGTCATTGAAAACAGTCTAGTAGATAGATTAGCAAAAACAATCATCTTAAGAGGAGGAATAAGAAGCTACCTATATGTATTAAAGCCTCTATATGTTCCAATACCCAGCAAACAAAGGTATATGTAGACCTAATATAGTCCAAAGGAATACCCCTTCGGCCTTTGTGACAATACCCTGCAGAAGATACCAACTGTCACTGTGCTCTTCCAATTCCTGCTGGCAGCCCCTAAACCTGCTGGTAGCAGAGCTGCTGGCAGAATAGACTCCTAAGAAGCAGCCGGGTCAGGTGGCCGGCGAGAAAACAGCAATCATGATCTGTGACAGTTTACTGGTAAAGATGGCTCGTATTTACAAAATAAAGGCATTAGCGGCTAGATCTATCATCAGGCTATTGAACTTCATGCGTTTCAATAGGCCCAGTTGTCTGTGTGCCGTTAAGCTGATCTTCAACTTGCCGACGAGCCTCTTCAACCTGTACGACTTGCACGAAGCGCTTATTTGGATTTGGGCCTACTTTTGCTCGTTTTTTCGGTCGGAGGTCCTCGATTTGAAGCTCTAGATTGCGAATTTTAGCCTCGTGGGCTGCAATCTTAGTGTTTCGGGTGTCGAGACCTTTGCCAATCTTACGGAACAGCCTCCGGGTAGTTATATCAGCCTTCTGACTGCTCGTAAAGCACACAAGGAGGTGTCGGACATTATGACTGCTAGCTGGCGTGTTTATATTGTCCTCGGCTAGCTCCTTCCGCTTAGTTTCCGCGATATGGGGCACTGTAGCTTCGCGCTGGAGAATGGGGCTATAGCGGTCCCGCCCGACAACCTGGGTGTTGCATTCGGCGGCAGGTCAATTTTGCAAGTGTCTCCTATATCTACCCCCAGCGACGGGCAGACACCTCTACGTGGTGCTGGGGACAAGTATTCAAGTATTTTCGTGGTGGTGCTGCTTGAAGAAACCAAGATCTGCCCAAAGGAGATGGAAATCATGGTGTGTGATAGTTAGACGCGACGCGGACGCATTTACAAAAATTCTAATAGCTAATAATAAATAAATGACGAGATAGCTAAGATGCCTCTTCCCATCTTGCCTTGCTATAATTGATGAACTAAAGAAGGCTAATGATCCCTTGTTTATGCAGTAACTAGATTTAGTGACCTGGAATCTATCGTGTTGCTAATACTTAATCTAGAGATTTTAACGCCGCGCCCTCGCCTCCCAACCATACCAGCGACGAAGAAGAATAGCTAAGGCCTGCGTGGTGCCTTACCTCGCTAAGATAAACTTAATGGACACGCACTACTAGAACTTGGTGGGAGATGACTAGACCTTTCTACCTAGTCTATTGCGATATCTTCGCTAATAATAACACATTCTCTAATATTACTCCTGGACTCTCTACTTCCTACCTCGCGGTCTCAAGGCTTCTACATAATGGTTCCAACAACGAGATACTCTAATGCCCGTCTCCCTATCCGCTCAATAACTCACCTTTCGTCCTAATTGTGCAACTACAATTGATTACATCAATCCCTAGTGTGATAATTGTTTCAACAACAATCGCGCGTGTGACTTATATTCCGATACTATTAGTCCAGACATAATATCTAAATGGTTATATAACTCAAATTTCCTCTTTTTCTTCGCGTTCCTTGGTTTCAATGGCTTTGGTTATTCCTATAATAGTGTCAAGCCCGCCCCTTACTACAAGGCGGCGAGGAAATAGAAATAATCACAGGCCTGTTAGGCGAGGGTCTAAATTCGCCCTTAGGAAACTTTAAACACCTAAATGGTTATATAAACATGTATCTAGAATAGTTATTACCTGCATATCGCTTAGGCGAGGGGTCAGCGTATGAATACATCATCATCATCATCGTCTCCTATATCTACACAGCCAAGTTTTAGCCTTTGACCATGTCTGATTTGCAGACTGGGATAAGAAAGGTCTTGCTCAGCTTGATTCTTGGGAGTTTGGGAGCGGAATTTGAGACCAACTACCTTTTTTTTTTTTTTTTTTTTTTTTTTTACGTACGCCTTTTATCACGGTATCAACAATGGCAAATATATAATCCAAATACTCCCCAACGAGACTAGACCAGACTACCCGATGAACAATGAACAATAACAAAGCTAAGACTCATTGCTCTCATCAATCTTCCGCGCAGCAACAACCTCCTCCCTTGAAAAGGGCGGCACGAGGAAATACAGCACCCCGTGTAAAATGGCCGCCGTCAGCGGCCCGATCCAGTGGATCCAGTGGTAGGAGCTGAAATGGGAACCGACCATCGCGCCAAAGCATCGGGCTGGATTCCCGGCTATATTAATATCAATTCACGATGATTAGCCATGGGTGGACGAGACAGATAGATCATCCAACCACACCACACGCGCGCGGCTGCTGGTCTGGATGGATGGATGGAATATGAAGGAAGGAAGGAAGGAAGGAAGGAAGGAAAGGGGCGTACATACAGAATCCCGTGTATCCGTCACGGCTGACACCGGTGAAGAACGAGCACATGCCGACGATGAGGCCGACGAAGATCGGGCCGAGAGCCGGGCCAAAGACTTCGCGCTGCCGCGGGTCGAGACCAACCCCGAAGGAGAGAAAGACCATGGCGAAGTTGGTTGTCACTTCGATTGTGAATGCGCTGCTGAGGGAGATCATCGACGTATCGATGTAGCAGCCGGGGACGATAAACTATAGATATCATGTTAGG